GTTTTCTCCACAAAACTTGCAGATAAACATTCTTCGGGATGATCCTTGTTGGTTATTCCAATTTTGGTTACTTGGGTCGCTATAAGATCTTCTCGGATTATAATTTGATTGGTTTGGTCTAGTTTTGTTTGAACAATCTCTTGATTAGTGGCCTTTTTTGTTGCACGAAAAGCATTCTTGTTTCGGGCAATATCTATTTGTATGTCCTTTCTGGTGACAAATTCCACACGTGAATTCTCTTGTGCTTTGTCTCTTTAAAATTTCTTCTCGTTCTTTATCAAATTTTTCTTCGGTGTATTCATTAAATGCCTTTGTTATTCTTTTGATGATTGGTGGTTTGTTAAATTCTTCTTTTGAGATTTCTTGAAGTTCTGGGTCCTTTATGATTTGACAGTTGTGTTCTTCTGGTTTTTCAACATGTTCGTCGTGCCATTGGCAGTAGTTTGGTCCTTGTTGGGTCCATCTATTAGATTCGTTTGAGTTGTTCATTTTAGTTTTTCTTCAATTTTCAATTTTAATAGTCTGTATGCTGTTGAGGTGGTTCCGTTCAAGTTTTTAATTTCTTTGATTAATCTCTCCTTTTCTTCAATATATGTTGGAGTTTTCGATTCAAATATTTGTTTTTTCTTTACTGTTTTGATTATTTTTTCTATTTCCTCAGAATGTATTATATGATTTTTGTTCTTAGAGTCTTCTTCAATTAGTTTGTTAAGTTCCTTTACTGTTATACTGTATAATCTTCTTAACTCTTTGCTGGGTTTATTGTCATAGTCGCAGTCGTGTGAGTTGTAATATCTCCAGCCTAAATTACAATTAATGCAATAATGTAATGCATCTTCGTAAAGTTGTTTTCTTAACCAATTTATAGTGTCAATTTTTTGGTGATAATTTCTAATCTTGTTTTGTTCTTTGAATATTATTTCTTCCAAATATTTTATTATTCTTTTTTGTTCTTCTTTAAACGTTGGCTCTTTTGATTCTGTGTTTCTTATTTTTGTCAATATTTCTTCTTTCTTTTCTTTGTTAATTAAGTTTTGGTCTTCTTCAAGTTTTTTAATTATTTCGTTAATAAATATTCCAAGTTCGCTTTTAGTTATTTCTGCTTTGATCATTAATAGTAACTTTTTTGTTAATTCATTAGGTATAACCTTTCCAATTGTTCTGGGTAATATTTTTGTTTTATTTCTTGCAGTTTTTGGTTTATTTCTTTTTTACGTCTTCAGTTTTTATTGGGGTTAGTCTGATTGTTCTGAAGTTTGTTAAATTAAAGTCTGGTTTTAGTTCTAATCCACTTTGCGATTAATTTGTCTATCCAATATCTGTGTTCAAAATCTTCTGGTTTTTGTTCTGCAAGAGCTATTGCTCCCAAGATAATTAAATATTTATCAAAGTTTTCTAGATCTTGTTTATTTTTTGATTTATTGAATTCTTTATAGAGCAAACTACTTTCAATTTCCTGCCGTTCTTCTGTATAAGATATAGTTGTTATTTCTAATTTCTTAACGTAAGTTATATTGTAGTTTTCTGATTTTAGTTCTTGTTCAAGCTCCGAATGGTTTGTCCGTTCTTGGCAGTTGGTCATATAAGTCTTAATTGTTCAGTTTACTTCTTAATACTGTTAGGGTTAAACAGGTTATAGTATTTGGGTTTTTGATCGTAGATCGTATCCAGGATTCAATTTTTTTGAGTTCAAGTTCTTCTAGAGTTATTATTCTGGGTACTGAATTCTTGAATTGTTTGATTTGTTTCTTAATTATTCTTTGGTTTCTTTTTAATTCTTTAATTACGTGTTGAGTATCTACCATTTAGGGTCTGTTGTAGTTTTTCTGTTATGTTTTGAATGTCCTTTGGTCAGTTGTTCGGAGTGTCTTTATATAATTATTTCTTATCAGTAGTTTATTCCAGATCTGAATTTGTATTACTTGTTGATTGTATTTCATCAATGAGTTC